AGGGTTGCGGGCGCAGGGTTTCGGTTTTAGGGCTGCCGGCTTAGGGCTCAGGGTTTAGGATTTAGGGATATATGAGCTATAGTCTAAACTCCTAGTATCCCCCTTAATAAGCCCTATTGTAGTCCCCTATATAACCCCCTATATAACCCCCCTTTAAGGAGTTTAGACTATAGCTCATATACCCTCCAACAACGACCCAGTCTTGACCTGAGGGACATTCCAGTTGTGGCATGCTAGAATAGTTTGGAAATATATAATATGGGTGTTTCCCAAAATTAGGGGTACCATATCGGGGGTCCCCATAATAAGGACTATAGTATTTTGGGGTATATATTGGGGTTCCCTTATTTTGGGAAACTACCATATTGAGGAGGCAGGGATCTCAACATAGTGGGAGGGGGCCCGGGGCTTCCTAGCAGCTTTGACAGATAACCATGCATAACCATATACATCCCCATATGAACCTGTACATGCCACTATTATGACCCTGCATATCCCCAACTCTGAGCCCCAAACCCCAAACCCCAAATCCTAAACCCTAGATACATATACATCCTTAAAACATGACCCAGGTTTAATCTGTGGCCTGGCAGCTTCTGTAACAGCTCCAACCATCGCTGCTTCCGCAAGCGAAGGCTGCTATCCGTCTCGTCTGGAAAATTCCTGGGCAGGTCTAGGATTTAGGGCCTAGGGGGGTCAGGGTTGAAAGGGGTTTGAGGCTTCGGGTTAAAGCAAGGGGTGCTTGTTCTTCAAATTTCAACAGCGGGCCTTTGATGATCCCGATTTGTTTGGGGCGACGAGACACTAGTCACAAGCCTTCGAAAGTCATAGGAGACCATAGGATATTACCTAGGCTTTTGCCTATCTAGCTTCCTGTGGCGCTGCCCAGCTTCTTTGCCGAGAAGGTCGCCTCAATGCATGCCTGCAGCTCCTCAAAGCTGTCCTGATGTAGAGTTCAGGGTTTTGAGTTCAGGGCTTGGGAGTTAGGACCTAGGGTTTAGGGATTTAGGATTTAGGGTTTAGGGGGCCACCTGGGGGCAAAATTTTGGGGGTAGAGGACTAGGTCTCAAGGGTGGCTAGGGATCAGGATTTAAGGGCCCTTGAAAATTATGAAGTAGGTTTGGTGAGTTTAGGTTTTGGTGGGCTCAAACTACATGCGGATGGTGCTGTGATCATACTGGAACTAAGCAGTCAAGGGTCTTGAAGGATAAGATAAGGACACTACAGGATGTCAGAGGGTTCAATAGGTACTTTGCAGACAGGTTTGTAATGTAAAGAGGCCATGTTATGGGGAAAGCTAGGGCATTCTTTACCCCAACCCGAAATCCTACAGCTCTACATCCCTAAGCTCCAACCCCCAAGCCAGAGTTGATGACTCTTCGGCTTCCCTCAAACACAGTTTTGTTTGACTTGCTAGCAGCCAGCCTACCTCTTTGCGAGTGAGCCTGACACCAACTGAAGACGCTTAAAGACAGTGCGCCAATTGGCCGCCACTTTCTTGGGCGTCCTTGCGACAAGGACGACTCTGGAGGAGTGTCCCAGTGTCCACTCTGAACGGCCACATATAGATCAGCACAGCCAAAGTGGAATTATAGTCCGATTTAAGACCCCCCCTTAACCCGAACCTCTAAGAGGCGTATTGCAGGATCCTCATGAATTTCAAATACGTACTCCTGAATGTTCCCAACATGCTATGATGTGCTATGATTTGAACATTCATCATTAGGGCGTGGCTGGCGGGCACAAGTCAGGTACGAATCAGGTACAGCTTTTATACACCCTATAATCCGAAAATCTCGAAGCTCAAACCTAAAACTTCAAACGCCTAAATCCTTTAACCATAAAAGTTCAAAATGCCTGAACCCTTAAACCATGAAACCTCAAATCATAAAGCCCAAGCCCTATCTTGGATCCTGATTAGAGTGACCCCCCGAAACGGGAAGACAAATAGAAGAGCCATCTCGTTAATAACCATAAAATTAAAACGAAGACACTAACAACGTAATGAAAACAATTGAAAATTCGAATCTAGAACATCAAGACCAAGTTACAAAGGCCTCACGGTGAACCTACCAAACACACTTGGCATTATTAAGACACCCTCAAATCTTTTTCTATTGAGCACTAAGGGGTCTGCTGGACCGCCCCTTGGGAATTTGATTGTCTGGCCTGATCGAAAACGTGGTTCAATAAGAAATCCATTCCAAAGGTTGTGCAGCCCGGCCTTCATGTTTGAAGTCCAGATCTTTAACTCAAAAAAATTCTCCGTCTCACCATTAGGTTTAGGGTTTAAGGTGTAGCCCTTCCAAAAAGCCTCGACATAAGTGAGCACCCCCAAATAATTCGAAGTATTGATGGTCGGGGGGTCTGCTGGACTACCCTCTTTTGGAATTTGACGTCGAATAAGCGGTAAAAATAGACATACAGGTTCTTGGCGGCTCACATTTCAGGTTCCAAAGGTAATAGAGCCCGGCACGTACATTGAAAGGCCTGGCTGTAACACCCCATGAGTTTATGGCCTCATCATAATATTCCCCGGGTTTTTTAAACTTATTGTGGAACCCCAACTCGAATAGCAGGGCCAGAATAACAGTTAGAAAAAAAATGTTTTATTGGGGACCCCTGCGTACAACCCTCACAAGCCTCACAAGTAAGCCCAAACTATTTCTACCCAGCTTGCAAGTCGTCCTGGCTCGGTGAAAGCTCCAGACTCTGCAATGTGTCTCGCAGCCACCGGCCGT